AAACTATAAATGGCTTTGTGAAAACAAAAGAATGCACCTAGAAAGTGAATAGAGTGTGCCAGCTCAAGTGGGTCAATCAGATGTCAGATAAAATGGCCCGCTCGTGCAAATTGGCAGAATAGGTTTAATCTGACATTATTTGATAAAGAGTGCATGGCTGGGTATCCAGAGATGGAATGAAATCTGTTAAATCTGTAAGTTTGCTGTGAGGCAGTATTTTGGATTTTAACAGAGAGAGTCTTGATCTTGGAATAATGAGATACTTTTCAAGTAAAGCCAAGTAGCAGATTGTAGCATTATCAGCATTTGATGCTGGCATTTTACAGTTATTTACCTTGCTGGACAACTAGCAGATGCAGTCAGGACACAGATTTTTTTTATATAAAGGAAGAAGCATGTGAGGGAGAGCTATTGAAAAGAAAATAGGGTGAGTTTCAATCTTCTTATGTGAGATGATGCATCATTGACTCCACATTACCTTGCATCTAAAGTCTATTGGTTTCTCTTGTCCCTATTCTGACTCTGTACAACTAAACACATTTCCTCAGGATGAGTCAAAGGATAACATCCTTTCTGCAGCACACAGATCTTTTGCATGTGGTCCGTGAGGTGTGTGACGGCACGACAGCATGACTGGGCTCTGATGAACTAACATCAGCTACCACTGGAGGGAGGGTGCACAAGGGCACTTAGCCACAAGTCTTAGTTTATTTATGAGCCAATCCTTCACTGTCCTTTTGCAACCCTCTGCATCTGTCTTTTAAATCAGCCTGTCTCTTTCTCACTGATCCTGACATGCTTTAGTGAATAGCATTTTAACTGTTATTTCAGAGCAATTTTAAATAAAATGGTGGACTCCCCTGTGATAATCAAGAGCTTGAATGTGCTCAGCGTGAAATGCCATGAAAATGCAACATCTTACTCTGCCTTTAGCGGATCAAGTGACAAGAGCTTACAAAAGAACTTGCATGATATTCATGCAAACCTATTTTTCATCAATATTCCTGGTCTTTTTGACATA